TCTTGGTGGTAGCACTTGAATGAAGCCAGGTAAATCTCTTAACGGTCTTAACGTCAGGCGAACGAATTGTCTCTTCGCTCGGCCTGCTTTGTCAGTAGCTCCACACACTTTTAACCTGCAGCAAGGTCAATGATGCAGACCTACGACACGTACATCCCTGGACCGTATGAGAACTTCGCAGAGCAAGCCACCGAGGATGCAGGGCAGTTGGGCGCATTGTTTCCACCTGGAAACCTCCAAAATTGCTATGGTCCATCCTTGTAGTGCATACTTGTAGGAGTCCTGCGTCTAACTCGATGTGTGATTGGCAGGAGCGAGCAGAAAGTGGCGGAAACGGCGTCGGCCAAGGCTTAGCGGTAACTTTGCGCGGCTTTGAAAACTTGCCTCCCAACCTTAATCATCCCCGAATCCTAGGGATGAGATTTTGACTATTTGCATGGGGTCCCGTCGGCAGCCTCTGCCAGCCTTTGTCGTAGCCTCATCTCATCGGATTGCGCGTCAAAAGACCTGAGCCAGGCACTATGGGTCAAGGTGGCGGCAGCAGCGGCGGTGGTGGTGCGGGCGGCGGCATGGTGCCTGGAGGCAGGTTTTTAGTCCTTGGCATGGGGGGGGACTTGGGGCAGAAATCAAGATACTTCGCTTGATGTTTCGGGGATGTTCGCAGGGATGCATCCGCAGATGCGCAGCCTAGCAGACTGACCCTGTTTGCACTGCTGCAAATCTGACGCAACAACGGATTGCAGCCACGCAGGTGGCCAGCAAAGCTCAGGGGGAGGCTGGTGGTGATGAAAATGGAGCCATGCTGCCAATCACTGGCTCGGTGCTATCAAATAAGAGTGCCATTGCATTTGAACACAACCTGGACTGGAGACTGGCCATTGTCAGCGATTCGCGAACCATTGCACAGGCCTTCCATGGGGCCATGCTACACCGATCCAAGGTGCTCCCAAGGACCTTCGTGATACACTTGTTATGCAACGATTCGTTTGCTTAGCGTGCATTTTTCCAAGGGGGAAGAGGTGCTCAATGGTGCTGTGCATCCTGCCGCTGTTCAAAACCGATGTAAGAGAAAACCAAGCAAACCAAAACTCACTGCTGTCAGGGATGCATCAGTGATCGCCTGAAGGACCACTTCTACAAACATGGCGGCCAAGTGGGGTATGAACCGTTTGCGCAGCGCGGAACTTGAATCCCCAGCAGTGAAAACCTTTTTTGCTCAGATTGTTTTTCGTGCCTTCCGTGGGGTTTTGACCATCCTCAGGCCATGGGTATCTCAGTATGCCACGGATGAAGGAGGGCCACGCCCTCGGCATGCAGACGCTCCCGTCTGTTTAGGCGAGTCTGGTGGAAGGGATGGTAGATCCCATTCCACAGTGGCTCGTTGAATGCCCGTTTGGCTACGTGGTCTGCTGCAAGCAAAGATACCAACTCTGCTCCATCTGCATGTTGACTGGCTATGGTTTTGGGAGAGCTTGGGGAGCTTTGAGTATGGTCTGCTTCGTTTGTTGCAGCCAAGGCACAACGCCTTCAGCTACGAAGGCAAAGAGTTTGCAAGCGGAGGCCCAGAAGCTGGTGCTCTTGGAGCTTCGTAGTCATGGCAGGCAGTTTTGTTGGCACTTTGCGGCCAGAGCGCACATTTTCCTGAGAAGATTTATTTTGGTTCTTTGGATGGGTATGAGGCAGGAAGATGTCGTCGCTCATGCTGAACAAGGTTGTAGCTGGCATTACTCTACCAAAGGATGGAAAGCAGACCAAGCATGGTCAGTACCAGTGGCTGGGGAGGCATGGAGATGGGCTCTGTTGGCGACTTCGCCGAGTACATGCGGAACTATGCCGCAAACCCAGCCGGGATTCTTGTGCAAATGCGCCTCGGGATGTGCACCCGGTTTTTCTGATCTTCATAGCATGTGAGGCACTTGACTGGCTGCCCGAAGGTTCGCAAGCACAGCAGGCGGCGTGGGGAACTCAGTAAGACTAGGCGCCTTGCATTACTGCGCTAGAACAATAAGCAGCAGTGATGACTTGGGCGAATGCAGAAGCATCAAAGGTCCATAAATGAGATGTTCACTCCCCTGAACCTTCCACACAAAGCGAAGCCATGCTAAGCCACTGCCAGCTTAAAGCTTTTGAGCAGATCCCAAGGTCGCACAAATCCGACAAAGCAAAGGCTCGGCGGGCTCGGCTGCTGATAGCCCTGGGCGGTTGAGCTCTGCCTGCGACCTGCTTTTGGGCCATACATGCAGAACATTCAGCCAGGAGTTTGTGAAAGCGTCAGCAGACTATTGCATTCAGAGAGGCCGTGTCCTTTGCAGCGGAGATGCCAGTCCACGAGGCACAGGTGGACTGGGAACTGACTTTGGCCTTGGATCTTGCTGTGCGGCGCGCTTGCATGAACTTGACATCATCATGTACTGTTGCGAAGGCTGAGGTCGACAAATTCCATAGTTACTTCTTTGGCATCGTATCATGACTCCTACTGGTGGTTTGTTGTCATCAGTGTGTTACGGCAACTTCTACTGCCACCACATGACCAGGACGGTCCCGCCGCGGCCTCACCGGAAGCGAGGCCACAGGAGCGCACATTGTCATTCTGGCAGCTTTCTCAAGACACGCGCGGTCCCCCCCAAAAAATGTATTGATTTTTCTTTGCGGCATGTACATTGAGACGTCAGCTGTGATTGCTGGCCATACGCCGATCTGAAGGATACTCCTGAAGCATCGCCTTTGCAGCCTCAGTTGCGGGGCTCCAAGGAGACACTGGCTGCAGGCTCGATAGAATGCCAAAGTCCGATGAATATCTCAACAATGAAGGAGCCGATGTTTCCGGGGCCCTCAGTGCCAATGCCTTCCATGCCGCTACCTGCGAGCACCGACCAGCCTGAGATTCATGCCCTGGAGCAGGACAGGAGATTGCATGCTCTTTGACTTGTGTGCTGAAGGTAAGCCCGGTCATGGAGGACCCCACCATCGAAAGGGCCGAGGTGGAGGCGGCGGAGGAGACTTTGAGGGCAGTCACTGCCCTGAAGCAACTCCAGCAAGCTGCCAAGGCCCACCCAGCACCAAGCATTGTGGAGTAGACTGGCTGCACATGTAAACCCAGGATGGCTCTTATGCCCAGTGGACACTTCGCCGGCACGGCCTCCCCTCCACCGCCAGCGAAGAGTCCCAGCGCAGGGCAGAGGACGCTTCTTTTGCAGTCCAAGGGACAGCTGACAATTACAGTATCCTTCTCGCGATTTCCCCCCTTCAGATTGCGCTTCTGGTGCCTCAAGCAGGAACAAACACCAGACACAAAGACGAACTTAAAGCTTGCGAGTAGACAGAAGCCACTGCTGAAGCCTGGCACTGTCCTTTTCGCTAGACGCTCCTAGTAACCCTATCCCAAAGACCTCAACTACCTGGACCCCAAAAGNNATACTGTTGGGGTTTAGGTACTTGTTTTAGGATCCTGTGAGGAGCTGAAGAACGCCATGGCGCAGCTCAGGCTCGAGCCTCCTCAACTTTCGAAATACAGGTACTGGAGTTATATGGAGGTTTCCCAAAATT